GCTTTTTCCCCCAGAGACACAATTCCATAGACTTGCTCTCCTAGACCCCAAACTGTCAAGACCACTACTCTTTTCTCTTTTCTCTCTATGGAAACATTTCTGTGAAAAATGCGGACTATAAGGTCGCGCCATAACGCCCACATGGGGGAAAACAGTCTCTCTATTCCCTACCCTAGAATTACAAAGTCCAATCTGCTCAGTACCCAGTTTTGAGAAATTTTACATGAAAATTTTTGAGTTTCACAACATTTCAAGCTTTTTGGAAAGCAATTCTTTTGAATAATATCTTGACAACGACTCCCACTTAACTTACGATGTTGATAGAAAAGATAGAACATTTCCGACCTCATGGTATTAGTAACTCAAAAAAACCAAAAAACCCCCCGAACAAAACAACAACAGCCAAAAATTGCAGAAAGAACTTTGTTATTCTAAGGTAGTGCATTGTCGAGTGCACGCGTGGCACCCCCTCCTCCTTTTTTGCCCTTAATTTATACTTAAATAAAAAATTAAGTCCAATGGCATGCTCTTTATTGATGAACCGGGAATACGTTGGTGGTTGGCCGGTGCTCTGGTGTGGTTTGCTTCTTCTTTTCTATCAAACATCTATCGTCCTTATCTCTGCTCCTTCTTTTCTGTGTTTGTTACTCTCTTGTAACACCTCTAATCTTCGGCACTTATATGACCTTATTGTGTTGCAAGTGCCGTAAAAACACTTACTGAAACAAAGAACCGGGAATACGTCGTAGTGCACGATCTATGGATATTATAACGACATACGTTACCCCCACCAGGGCAGTGCTACTGACTAAAGTTGTATTTAGGCCATTTCCTAAAGGGGGGATATTAACATGTTCTTATGCACAGTAGAATTGTAAATGGGTTGATTTATCAATGTCATGCTCATACTGTGCCGGAACAACATAGGGAAACTGCTGCCTTTTTCACCCTCATCCTTACTATCGTCATTTTCCCTCTACTTTTTTTTGTGTTTGTCACCCTATTGTAAACTGCTATTTCCGGGATGCCTTGGTAGTCGAAGCAGACTTTGTGCTGTTGAGGCTAGAGAAATGAGCAGAGTAAGCCTGATTCCCCTTTTAGACATCTCTGTTGACATCCACCCCTTGGCGCTCATATGACCTTCTGCAGTTGCGAGCGCTTAAAAACCTTACTTTATGGAAGTGGAAGGTTCTTTACCTTGGTTTTGGTGGAGTTGTTAGCATTGTTGCCCGTGCCGTACATGACGTTCTTCTGCCGCTTCACCGCGTGCAGGTACAGCTTCCGAAAGATGTAGGCGTAGCCGAAGAAAAGGAAGAGTCCCCACAGGATGAAGTACACCTGGCACACGAACAGCATCACCTGGCGGGGAAACACGGACACTGGGCACTCAGTGCTTGGTGGGGAACAGTGAAAAGTAAGGATAGAAAGAGGAGAAGACAGTGGGAAAAAGACACCATCAAAAGAAAAAGAAAAGAAAAAGAAAAAGAAAAAAGAAAAAAAGAGAAAAAAGGAAAAGAAAGGGAAAAAAAGAAAAGAAGAAGAAAAGGAAAAGAAAATGGAGTATTTCGTTTTATTTTAAAAATGTATACCTAAATGGAACTCTCTCACTTTCTTTGACTCTGAGAATTAGTTAACTCTCTCTCTCT